AATTAAGAAAGGACTTGTATCGTTGAAGTTCCTCGGAAATAATTTCTACCGGAAATTATCAAACGAGCAGATACGTAACAGTATAAAGGATATTTCTCTAGTTACATGAATGTAAACTGCATAGATAGACTGTCAAAAGATTTATAGTAGATCTGTGATAATACACCTAACAAGATTTTGATGTATTTGTGTTGCACAAAAACATAATAAAGACAGTCTCTTTGCTTATATTATGAAAATAAACGCATTAATATTACCGTTTTAACCTAGAATGTAGATTATTTCATAAAAGCAAACTTCCTCATCATCACAGCAAGCAAAATCTGCCCATTATAGGATTCCCCATTTTACTGAAAAAGTCCCCAGAATATTTGTTATTACCTGAGTAGAGTTCCATGAATCAAGTATTGAAGTAGCCGGATGTCACGAACATACCTTGTTTTATATAAAAGTTGAGGCCAAGTGTTAGTTTTCTAATACACAGAGGTGGCGAAATGTTGGGTTCGTACTAAAATCGTGAGGATAAAGAAACCATATCTTGGAAGAATGTGACGTCAGCAAATATTGCGTGTGAAGAAATCCCAACACATTTAAATATAAACGTTGCTGTCATTTACTTCATGAGTTAAAATCGAAATCTTAATATATTTTTAATTAATGTTATAGGTTACCAAGTTATGTTTTTAAAAGTCGTGTAGAAATATAATGAAATCCTTGAATAAAAAATTTTTTTTTTTTCGACGGAGCAGCTTGGATTAGTGACTTCGCGCGTTGAACTTTTTCTCGTGTAATTGTTGTGTCCTTGAGCAAGACACGTTGCCTTATTTGATGGGTACCAGTTATTAGCTGAGGTATTTACACCAGCTTGTGACACAGGCAAAAAAAGTAAGGATTTAAAAATAAAATGACTGTAACCACTGTAAAATATATCGTCATGAAAATATTACAAACCTGGTTTTACCAACATCTTCGTAAATAAACTTTCTGTGCTAGAAAAGACAACGACAGATAAAAAGCTGCGGTGTTTTCCCTCATAGTATTGTTACGTCTCTGGTCGTTAGTTAATTTTCCGTAAAAATTCTTTCCGAAGAAACTTTAGCGATACAAGTCCTTTTTAAAATAAAACTGGATTATTCTTTCTGAATACAGCTTTGCAATACACTTAATTTCCACAGTCGCGCTATAACAAACCTTATAATTCACAATTAACGTCTCACGTGCTCGACTCAACTGTCAATTACACATTGTTGCCGTCACTTCTTGGCGGCTTATATATACAAGACTACCGCATATCTAGTAGCCTCACGAGACTTCAGGAAGGGACGTGAACGTTCGAGAAGCGCATGACGTGATACTAGCGTCACGTGACCTCCGCTGTCGTAACACTGCCTCTTCCTTAGTATTGTTCGTCCCGAACAATAGCCACTTACATTAAACCAATAAACAATTAACAATAACTTAACTAAATGTAAAGAATTTACAAACACAAAATTAAAATTCAACAAAGTCTCTTAATTTTACCGGACGTATCATCTTTCCTACTGGTCTCCGTCTAGTTGGCTTCTGCTTCAAGTGGGGTTCATCTGCTTCATCAGGAAACGTCCTATCATTGGTAACAGTCACATCAGTGGTAGTAACTTCATCAAGGGCTTCACCATTTCCCTTCTCAAAACCGAGTAGAGTTTCTTCTTCGACAGTGGCTTTTTCAGGTGACACGTCTTCAGCAGCATCATTTGTTCCGCTGTTCACTTCATCCCAACAGAAATGTCCTGGACTGTGATAATGCCAAAGCCTGTTGGCATGCGCCACCTTTGGCTTACCTCACCACCCACATTTTATCCGGAAAGTCACGTCTGAGAGACGATCCACTATGTCATATGGGCCTTCCCATGGAAATGACAACTTAGGAGACTTCCCTTTGGTCTTCCTGGGATTATACAACCACACCTTGTCTCCTGGTACAAAGCTGACTTCAGTAGATCTCTTATCATAAGATAACTTCATCGAATCAGCAGACATTTCCAAGTTTGAATGCACTTGATGGTGAATATTATCCATCCTTTATGATAACACTTTCATGAATTCTGACACATTTTCAGGCAACTCATCATAAGGTGGGTGTCCTGTTAACAGAT